CATAAATGCTTGTTGCTACTGCTTCAAATTTTACCCAACTACTCTTACAGGCGTTATTACAACATTGGTTTTTTAGACACAAAATTCACCTTTAAGACTATCTGCATGAAAGGAGGAGCCCACAGAGCTCTTGAAGAAAAGAGACCTGAAATATTTAAGAACTGTGTAAGAAAAAAGAAAAAACATATCCCATCTAATGCTAAAGTATATATTTCATACAACTTCTGTGAAGCACACAATCTGATTAAAAAGAAGTTTTTGTCCATTTGCAAATGTAGGCACGACACGTTTGGTGCATATTGTTAAATACTCTAGCACCAATAGAAACCAACATTCACAAAGTGACAGAGAGAAATTATTTCACATCATTTGAAATAAACTCTGTGAAATAGTAGGTTAAAGTCAAGAACCAAAACACAGAAGAACAAACTCGCATCTCGCTTCAGGGAACTGATTAATCATTATTTGATAAGAGCCTGAAACTATACCAAGATGTATCAGGTTGCAATTGTCCTCAAGGACAACAGAAATTGGTGTTTACTTTCAATGGCAGAAAGGACTAAATCAATAAAATCTAAGAAACCATTTCTTCCTCAAAATAGTTGTAAATCTAAAAGGCACATTATTATTCAGTGGATCTACTACTTTAACTGCAAAGAAAAAAAAACAAAACACCAAACTACCCTTATTCCTACTTTTGATTCAATTTCTCTGTAATCATCAGCTCCAAAGGAAGAACAAATAAACCTTTTTTTTTTCCTCCAGGCTTGACTCTGAATCATGTTCCATCGGCAAAGGAACGTCATGCTGAAGTGCTACTTATTTCTTGTGATATGCCTTGAATACAATAAGGTTATCAAGATATAAGCACAAAATCTAAAAAGTAAACACAGACAGAGGTGACACAAGTACCAGGAAAAAAATCTAGTTAAAAGTTCACTTCAAAGGTTCTACCTAATCTTAGGACCAAAAAAAAAAAAAAAAAAAAAAAAAAAAAAAAAAAAAAAAAAAAAAGACAGACCAAGAAGCAATACAGCCATGAGGGACCACAAGGGACGAGATTTCTAACTGCAAGAGGTAAAGAGGTAAAGTGATGCAAGCTTTATTTCATTGTCTCACTACAACCTTGGCTCTAATTATGTTTCCTGCAAAAATCATTAGAGAAGCCTGGGGATAAAATGGAAGCAGATACAGAATAATAAATAAATCAACTGTTTCTTCTATCTGCATTCTCTGGGTTGATTCACTACATTGCAGCTCAATGAACTGGAATGGCTCACAAGGAATATTTGGTTAGATGATTGGTCAGAGGTGCTCTAAGTTGCAATCATATGATGGGCAGTTTTAATGAGGCCACTTAGACTGCAAATTCCTAGGTATGCAGTGCTTTTTTCTCCTCGTAACATCACAGAACAGCCAAAAAAACCTTATTGTTTTTCACACAAAGTTAGACAAATGTTAATAAAAACTAAGTACAAAAGATTTATTTGTTACTTGACTGGAAACTTTGTATCTGGACAGTTTTAAAGACATAAAACTACGAACAACCAAATGCTCACAAATAAGTCAATTTCAGGGATAATTGTCTATTTCTGGGAAAAGAATAGAAAGTGTTCCAACAGCGATCAATATGTCTCACTAAGAAACTGAAAAAGGTCAGCTACTGTATTTGCCTACTTATAATTTCCTTTCTTCCTGTTGTTTAGGGCTAACAGAATAACAACTTATTTATATGGAAAATTTTGTTGGAAAATAACTTGAAGAGAAACTACGGGACCCAAAGGAATATCACAGTTTTGCTGATACACTTTGATCAGAGGAATGAAAGATGAAAAACCAACATTGACTGTTCCAGAATATTTTTTTTTCCGGATACACTCTACATCCTGTCATTCAGCCTAGCAAATTCTGAATGCTTAGACCACGTGGAGATACATTTATTAAATACCGTTTCTGTCCAACTTGTAAAATGCAAGCAATCAGAAAAGATGATGCATGAATATTTTTTTAACTCAATTAGTCATTTTTCAAGTGGTACATGGCACTTCCTCTAACCATCATTAGAAGTTTTTTACATGATTTTTCAAAAGGCTGACTGTTTTCTTAACATTAAAATAGCTTGATATGAGTGGTAGAAGATAAACGCATCTCAAACTCCAAATGTACATTTATACATATGTACACAGAGAATTTTCACAGTGACCTGGGGATGTGGGTTTTTCTCAGTGACCTGGGGAAGTACTCTGCTGGTACTTCCAAAACCACATCTGGAGTTCCGTGCCCAGACTGGGCTCTCCAGTGTAAGACAGACACAGGCACACTGGAGCGCATCCAGCAGATGACAGCAAGACAACGAGGAGGCTAGAGCACGAGACACAAACAGAAGATGAGGGATAGGAGTTTGCTCAGCTGTAAGAAGAGAAGGCTTTGCAAAGACCTAAATTCTGTCTATGACATACGGGAGGGTGCAGAGATGACAGAACTAGATTTTTCTCAGAGGTGCACAGTGATAGGAGTTCTACCAACAAAAGTTGGAACATGGGAAATTTTACTCAACTATTTATTTTCAAACACTGGCGAATGGGCCCAGAGAGGTCGAACAAAGCCCTGTACAACCTGCTCTAATGATCCTGCTTTCAGCAGAAAGTTAAACTACGTAATCTCTGAAAGTCCAACCAACTTAATTGCATTAATTTAGACAAGGTTAGCCAGCAACATAGTGTTGATATTATATAGAAAGTATAAAAATTAAAACTTCATAAATTAACCCAGATTCTGCCTTTGCAGGTAGTGGGGCTTAGATCATCAGAAGATGCGTTGCGTGTCCATACATTTGAAATTTTGGCACCACAAGACCTGTGGTGATTCCTTCATAGCCAGTGGTTTTAATCCAAGATTTTTATTCAGTGGCCTCCTTTGTTCTTTAAGTTACCAAAATAACATAGGTAAAGCATTAGCCATTATAATCATACCTATATAGCCGTTATATTAAAGGCTAAAGAACAGAATAACCATTTATTTCTATAGAATACAATGTTAATGTAGAAGATACAAAACTATTACACCATGAAACTCAGAGATTTGCCATCTGTATGAAGATATAAATCTCACAGAATTCCTCTCTCCTTAACTAGCAATCGATAAACATGGATAAAATGTACTCAGCTAGATTGCATTTCATCTCCTTAGCAAAATAATTAGCAACACTAATCAGTCATACCCACGCAAAACCACTGAAAAGAACAAGTGTTACTGAAATCATAATATGAAAACACGTATCGTTAATACTACATCATGTAGTCCACAGTTCACAACACTGAGAAAAGTCAAGTTACATTATTATCACTACCATTTTTAAAGGCTTAAGTATAGGTTTTTTTGCTGTGAAACGAAGATCTTTTACATATGATTCAGTAACACCCTCACCCCTGAATTCAACACTTCAATCCTAGCTGTAAATGACTTACAGAAACTCATTCTAAGCCTGAAACAATGACAACTGCATCTGTTCCTGGAACTGTGATGTACGTAGTAGTTTATTTTCTCCTTTTGGTTCATTTGGAAAGGCCCCCAAAAGATCCTAGCTTTGTTATTAGAAGACTTACTTCACTTCATACTTAATTTCTCACGTCTACACACTGAAAACCTGAAATATCACTTCCACCCCATATTACTCAGCCTCTCCAAAGCAATACATGAATCTCTTATAAATATCCTCCCTGGAAATACAATCATAACCATTCAAGAGCAATAAGCCATCAGCCAGATCTTCTGGAAGTCAAATGGAAGGAAAAAAAAAAAGTAAGCAGTGGGAAATATTTTCATTCTAATATGCCTTCTAGAAAACATTTGCCCTCTAGCTCCTATCACCTTCATAGAAGTTTAAATACGTACTTAAGGACAGATTTTCATCACAATATTTGGACACTGTTAATCTGAAGTCTGTTTCAAGTAGTTGCAATAGAGTAGATTTCCAAATTCATTGAAAATTTAAACCTTGGATTAACGGAAAAGTATATGCACTGAAATATCTTGTCACAGCTGTTGCTGTTCTTGACAAGTCTTGACACAGATGTGTTGGCACACTTACTAATTAGAAGAGAATTTGCTTACGGAAAAAAGAAAATTTCAGCCAATTTTAAATGAACAGTTAAATATATTGTAGTAGAAGTTTTCTAAAAAAGTCAACTTGGTATGATAATTATGTTTTAAAGTAGTTATTCCTCCATCACATTGAAGGTCCCAATGATTACATGATAAATTAAGCCAGCTCCTGGCAACAGACAGCTCAGTGAGCCACAGCTGCATGGTAAACAGTGGTATTTCCAAGTGATGTTACTATTCTCTAGAGACACAACGTGACATTCTAGGCATCTGTTTTCCATGCACACTTCCTATGGTGCAGATAATTATGGCTCCCAGACAGCCACTAGGAGACATGACATTAAACCCATTAAAAAAAAATTTAGCTGTTTAAAATGAAATTCTTAAATTCCTTCATAAAAAAGCCATACCCTGCTTCAACCACACTTGATGACTGGAAATAGTCATATAAGCATTTAAGTGAACTTCATGTGTTCTGTCAGCAATAGAGAGCTCATCTTGAAAGTCTCAGCCATAGCATCACAGCATCATTAAGGCATCAGCCAGATTCTAACAAAACATGATGCAGACACATCCATTTAGGTCTTGATTTTAACACTTCTTTCAGTATCACGCCTGTTTGTTGTGCATCAACCAACAGGCAAGTTTTTTAAAAGACGAAAAATATTTTCTAATTATCCATATGTCTCAGCCACATTGACTAGATTGCAAGTTACAATCTGGAGGATGATAGCTATCAGTGACCAAAATCTAAATAATGCTGGAAACATTCATCCAATTTCCTGCCACAGAAAAAAAACAAAGTCAACTACAACACGAGAAAGAAAGAGAAAAGAATTAAAATTGTGAGAAAGAAGATGTAAGAATATGCATAATGTTTTGCAGACATTACTCACCAAAAACAGAGTTCTGAAGTTGCTCAGATCGCCAAAGAATTCTTCTATGGTTATTGTTTTGGGATCAAAGGTAAAGTATTCTCCCAGATTTTCATACAGTTTAGTCATGTTGTTGTGCATGTTGGACAATTTTTCATACTGTTCTCGGGCACTCTCAGCAAAGCTGTAAGGTTTTGTTAAGGAAAATGATTCAAATATAATCCAATCTAACAGTAAAAAAAAAAAAAAAAAAAAAGGAAAGGGAACTAAGTACAAAGGTTCAAACTGGAAACTTTGCTAGTGCAGTCCTGCTTTCAAATATGACATTTTTATGTATGTTTACATCTGCTAGTTCATACCAACACAAGGTGGTGGCACACTTTTCCATTAAATGATCCCTTTTCCAACAGAATATTTGTAATTAATAGACTATACAACTGATATAAAATTCCCAAATATCTTTGACATCTTTCCTCTATAAATGATTAATTTTGTAAAATGCATTCTATGAAAAAACATACTGAAAGTTAGTTTGCTGTAAGAATCTGACCACAATGCCCCACTCTGTTCAAGCCAGTCATATCCCCCATATTATGTGCATATGTTTTATATGTAAAATTTGCATTGTGCTTAACTACCAATGACAAAATAATCTAGCATAACATCTAATTTCCTTTGCCTTTTATTATAGATGTGTCTTCTTTGTGGACTCTTTAATGCCTAGCCACGTAGCTCAGCTTATGCCTCAGGCTTCCTGTACTAGGAACATTTATTTGGGGCACTCTCTCCATTATGTAATTTCACAGAACTTATAAAAATGGAATATCCACCCACCTGCCCCAGTTAACAGATAAACAGCTTTTTAGTAAGAAAAACACTATGGAACACCATACGTATTTTTTCCATTAGGAAACATGGAAGGCTGGAAATTAAACTGAATTGACTTCCATCCCAGAAGTCATCATTAAAAGTTTGGCATAATCCTTTTAAATAGGAAAATGTGGCATTTTTCTCCTATATGAAAACAATATTTTTAGAACAATTAGTTTGCAAATATAGGAAGGGTGCAAGCTACCAAGGGAAATATTAGTTGGCTTCGAAGCAAATAAGTTTCAGTCTGCTATTTTCTTCTTTTATATCTTCTTTCTTGTTTATATCCACAAAGATAAAGTCCCAAATCACTGTTAGAAAAACAGCTAGTACACGATTAAACTAGTTCTGCTGATACAGAATTGTAGCTGATGAAAGTGTTGTGCTGTACATATCAAAACCCAAGAACAAAAGACAAGTTACTCCCTGAACTACAGAAATCACGCAGCCTGGCTCCCTGTGGCTTTTACTTGTAACGACTCTCTTCCATGCAGACTCTGATTTTTAATACAGCACAGCTCATGCTTCAACCTTTCCCCATACTTGAGTCTCTAATTTGAGACTCTGCCTAGCATTACATTTCTAATGACTCAATATCTTTGAGATGTCTATCTCTCTGCAAAATAACAAACAACCTGGAAACTAATCAGGGGAAAAAGATATTAGGAAACCGTATAAACTGCTTTTTTTTGAGATTAGACTTAATCCAAAAATTATTCTTCATGAAATAATCAACAAATTGCAGAATAAAGAAAGGAAAATCAGGTGGATATCCTATTCATAACATTTCTGTAGTTTTTGGATACCGTTGAGTACTTAAAAGGCCGTCATTTCACAAGCTACCTGCAAGACTAACAATGCTGAAAATATCCTGAATAGGAAAAAGGCCTAGTATTTCACTTGGATTTTCCTGCTCTAAGTAATGAGAGGGTATAAAAATACTAATTTAAAAAATGGTTTTTTCAAAGTATGATCGAAAACTCTTAATTGTGTCAATTTTCCTACTAAGAAACTTATTTTCCAAGCAATCCTCTCTTCTTCATTAAAGCCTCAGTAGCATTAAAGGGAAGCTGTATTCTTGTTACCTTATAACGTTCATTCAGAATGGCAAAAAGAAGAAACCAATAACATGATGGATCTCAATATAGACATATCAAGATTTTGAAACAGTAATATCTACCTTTATAGTTTCATACCAGTGCAAAGAGTAATACCTATATTTTCAGTTTACTGAAATGATGTTTAACCTGCTTGGGTAGAATTTCAAGCTTGGACTGCTGAATCGCTCGTCTTAACAAAGACAAACTTGGTATAGTTCAGTCTTCAATGACATTTAGCTGTACAAAAGGAAATGAAAATTTAATGGCAAGAATACATTAAACAGGTAATAGTGGCACATTACTGAATTATTGAGCAGAGTCTAAAAATTTCAGAAAAAAACACGAATTGCCTCAGAGTCAGACTACTGTGTTAAACAAGTCACTAAAAATACTCAGAAAAAGAAATATGAAGGTATATAATTATACAGTTTGTATCTGTGGCTCCTTTTAAAACAACCTCAGAAAATATAATATAAAACCAAATTAATATATTAAAAATTACTGAAAAGTCTGAAACAAAAAAGAAAAAAACCTTCAAACATTCTAGATTTGAAATTAATTCTTTGAAACAAAGCAGCCAGAGTCAGATTCTCCATTCAGGTTGTACATTCAACATGAGAAACAGCAACAGACGCACTAAAAAGAAGAAAAAAAAATACTGCTACTGAAACTAGAACTTACTTTAAAGTAACACTGTAGAAACATACACTGGTATTTCAACATTATTATTTTAATCTAATAAGTACTAAACTGCAAATAAGAAACACCATTAACAGATGGCTTGTAAGACAAAAGGATGTCAGTAAGATGGATGAGTGTGATGAGCAAAGAGAGGATAGAGTATTTTCACTATACTTAATTTTGAAGAAAACAAGTCAGTGCTGTAGAGATGATAGTTTCCAGTCATATACCATGTCATATTAACAAACTTACTCTCTGTCACACTCTATATGCTTCATACAATCTTCAACTTATAAAATATTACTAACTTGAAACATCACCTTGAAATGTACCACTTCAAGTCATTGCAGACTCAGGCAATACAGTCATGCCAGAGAAACAAAGCCACACTTACCTGCACTATTTCATGAAAAAACATCGTTGAATAGTCTAAACTAACAAAACTTTGCATAGTAGAAATACTTAATACCAACAGTTTTCATTAATATAGATTGAAGCTTTAATGAGTGCTCATTTTAAAACTGTAAACAGGTTTCATTCTTACTATTCTCAACCAAAACTGATATCACAGAACTATCAAGGGTAAAGATGCGTGTTCAACCAAGAAAAATTACTTTATTCACAAGCTTTGTTTTCCACATACACACATTTTTTTAGTTTCTTTCATAATGAGAAGAAAATTCTAAGCCAAGACTTTAATGTAGATACTATTATTTGAAAAAAAACCAAAACCCAAACACCAAAACAGAAAAACCCAAAACACCAAATGAAACAAAACCCCACCCACTTGGAAACATTTTTCCATCTTTAGTACCATACCTTACTCCCCAAGTTCCACCTAAACCAAAAAAAAGCGCATTTGTAAGCCTGAATATAGGGAGACTTTACTGCTTCACTGAGATTAGTGAACACACCACTGCAACAATAACAGAACCATATCTAACTGCCGTATAGTCAACTTTACAGATATAATCCTTACTGAAGTTTTTAAATACTTATTTTAAGGTTACTAGGTAGAGGAGAGTCTATGTCCTTTAACCTATTTCCTTTTTTCATTTTAATACTACTGCGGAAGCCAACTACACAGTAGTACTTGGAGACTTTCTAAGTGTCAAGTTTGAGTTGTTGAGGAAGTGTTATTTCAGTGTAGAATTTACAGGTGTCTTCCAGAAGTGCTATCCTACTTCATTGGGTTCAACAGTTAACCCTGAGATTAATAAATAAATCATTGTTCAGCAACTGGTATAAAAAAGTTAATATATACTTGACCGTGCAATACAGTGAAATTCACTGTACACCAAGTGACCTGGCACCCTGAATCAGAATCAACAAGATATAGCTAAAAGTGATCTAGAACCACCAAGTAAGCTAGAACAGGTATAGAACCATAGATAAATCCAGAACCTGATCTAGAACCATAAATTGGTTCTCTAGAGAGGAGCGCTGCTCACTGCGGTTCGTATCAGGGATATCACTAAGGGGCTACCAAGTCTTGTCCAGCCCACATTGAGTATTATCCCCTGCTGTGATTTCATGTGTTTCATTAAATGGTTGTTGCTGGGCTGTGCTGGGTTCCCATCCTGGCTCTAGCTCTCTGTCAAGTCTGTTTAATGGGACAAATGGTTTATCGCCCAGAGAAGCTGTGGATGCCGCATCCCTGGAGGGGTTCAAGGCCAGGCTGGATGAGGCTTTGAGCAACCTGGGCTAGTGGGAGGTGTCCCTGCCATGGCAGGGGGTTGGAACTAAAGGACCTCTAAGGTCCCTTCCAACCCAAACCATTCTATGAGTCCGAGTCTAAATGTTGCTAAAGAAGTCTAAAGAAAATTAAAATTAAAATGCAAACAAATAACCAAAAAAAAAAAAAACTTGATGCCTTTTAAACTACACAGATACAGGTAAATGCCAACCACTATCTTGGGAGAAATCAAGGTTAAAGACCCCAGATCTGCTGGAGGGCAAGTCATCCTTTCTACCATAACATTTGCTATGAATTTCACATCAATATATCAATAACTTGAATAATAGGGTTATTAAAGTACCTGAACACGTAAAGAACTCCCTTGCTCAAAGGCAAGACCTATTACTGTCAGCATTTACAAAGAAAATGCAAGCCAACATTGACAGCTTGGCATTCACCAACACAATAAATATGTCACAGTAGAAAGAACATTGGTAATTTTAAAATTTTAGAATTTAAAAAATGCACTGGCGTTCCAGCACACAGGCCTGAAACAATTAAAAGAAACCCTACCACAGCTGACAACTTTGATACCTCCAGACGAAGAAAGAATGTACTGCAAGACAAAAAAGGAGATACCTGCCAGAAACCTCTTAACACTTTCCAAAAGCATTTCACAGACTGAATAGAAGTTTTTTTGACATGTCCTTCCAGCTACCGGGTACAGGTGAAAGCAGCATTCCATTGGGAGAGTTTTTCATGTAATGCTTGATTCTCAGAAGTTTATGCTGACACAAAAGACTTCATTTAAGAAAGCAGCAGCTGGCATTATGCTACAGATGGATTAACTCCTAACA